TACAGCGGGTACACTACGCAGGGCTCCTCTTCAAAAGCATGCCCTTCCCTAACGCAGCCTGGTAGCTCTAGCACAATAACAGAGGTAAGCAGTGAGGTCTATGTACTAAAAGCTCTTTATGGGCAGCAAATATATGATGACAAAGCATTTTCCCAATCTTTGCTTTCGAGAAGGGTTGTGAAGAGTTCCACTTGTTTAAAAATGCAAGTGGGCTCAAAATTTCCATCATCTGCTCTTCCTTCATCTCCATGAATCTGGCTTTAACCCTCATTTAAGACACCTTAATGAATAGCTCACACACAGGAGTAAAAAGTCTCACAGTGTGGTGTGAGGAACTTGGTGACTTACTGAGTGGGCAGCAGAGCTGTGACCCGCTACTGTCACTGCCAGTGAAGCAGCAAATGTGGTCAGACCTACACAGCCTTTCTTCTCACCCATCTCCCCACATTAGACCAAGGCTGTATGTGCCCCAGTTCTGTCAAATGACAATTCTGTAGATGTTCTGATACTAATGGTCTAAAGCTGATCCTGACAGCAAAACCATGAGGTGAGAAGCTATTATCTCCTCTATTTTAAAGCAAAAAAAAAGTGAGCAAGCCATATTGTCTTTCTGTCATAAGCCTGCCAACAGAAAAGGTTTGGACATAAAGCCTTGTGTCCAAGCTTGGAATATGGGATGTTCTGTGCTCCCTTCCATGTCTGATTTACACAAGAACTGAGGCATATTTCTAATATTTCTGAATCTACCCATTATTTCTTCTCAGGCCTGTTGAAGTTCTACCATGCACAGCTTGCAGTCCTGCAGACTATTCAAGCAGAATGTGCACCCACAGAAGCAGAGACATCAGGCAGACCCCTCTACCAACCCCCAGCAAGTGCTACAAAACTTCAATGAACTCCATAACCCCCTCACCTCTCACTCTAACAGGCACTAACCACCAAACCTCTCTCCTTTCCTGCTCTCTAACAACCTCTGCTCAGTAGCTGCCAAAGACTCTTTTAAATGCAGACTGGCTGCTTCTAATCTACAGTGAAGTATGTTACTTCTATTTCACACCTGTGCTTAAAACAAATTCCCCCCAGCTGTTTGCTGTAATAAATCACAGCTTCACACTAATCTGACTTCTTTCAAACAACAGGGATGTCAGCAATCTCATTTCTGTATCAGATCAGTCTGTTCATTGAGTTCTTCAGCCAAAAGCAGCAAAGACAACTTCTTGGAGTTTTACAAAACCAGTCAGCTGCCAGTGAGACTTTGAAGAGAGGAGGCGTCTGGCACAAGCTTCCTGATGTTAGACTAGGGAGAAAGAGCTGGTGGTTGCTGGGTAGGTGAAAACCTGCAGGTGTTGGGGCTGTATAAGGCTGATTGTACATTGATGCTCATTTCTTAAGAAGGTAGAAAAGGTAATTCAAAGTGCTGTCAGCAAGTCTGGGTGCAGTGTTGAAGTGGCTGTGCTCCCACAGGGACTGGCTGAGGATAGGCTTCCATGGGTGCCTCTTAGGAAAAAAGAAAGAGACTTGTGGTATCAGCATCATGTTTGCTACTTGATGCTTCAGATATTTTACCTAGTGGTAATGGGACTGATTAATAACAGGATTTAAGATATTCTATTTGTGTTTCCTATATCAAAGACTGCAGAGTCAATATTGTAAGAGTTTTCCCAGTAAAAATACGTTTGAGCTTGAGGCTTTAAATTTACTCCAGTGTTTACATTGACCTCCACTTTTCATGCAGTTCATTGGAGACATTGGATAAAGCAAGACTCTATCTACAGGGTTTTCTCATATATGACTGTTAGTGCAAGATCTCTCATTCTGCTTTTATGTGTAGAACCTGTATGTTTTAACATATTTATTTCAAGGCAGAAGTTCACCCCTCAAGTTTTCTGTGCGCAGTCTAAAGCTTTGGTAAAATATGAGTCTTGTCACAAAAGAGAATGAGACCCAGCTGCAAAGTTTCAAATTTCAGCCCCTCTCCGCTTCCTAAACTCCACTTTCCTCTTTGGACGCTGTAAAAACCCAGCTGTTTTGTTCTTGGAGAAAGCTCTGTTTTGCTCTCAGCAGCTCATATTAGATGCCAATTTAAGACCTTTGGGCTTCAAAACAGTGACCTTGTCTTCCACTTAACTATTGAAGAGTGAATGACTGTCAAAAAATGAAGTGAAAGGAATTGAAATACACTGCTAACAAGTGACATCTATTTGTGTTAGGAGACAGCTCCAGCAAGCAGGATGTAAACTCCGTATTGGCTTCCTGTGCTGGAAAGAAATATCCATTTTAGAGAAGGGGATGAATTTCAAATTTGCAGTTAGTCAGAATTTTACCTTCTTTTGACAAATTTTCATTCCCAACTGAGAGGCCATGCAGGCTTCAGGAAAAGAAAATACCTGGTACTGTTCTGAGGTTTAGTACCTCTAACAGCGTACAACAGCCCTGTATTAACACGGTTGAGATTTGTTCATTATTTTTCAAGTTGGCTTTATTCTGCTAAGAAAAGAATCTGTACTATCAGCTGAGAGCCTCCACAACTCATCCATCATGCTGTGCTTGCCAACACAAAATTACTCAACATCCTGTTTGCAGCACAAAAGCAAGCAGAACTCAGGAAAAAAAGTAACACCTTATTTACAAAAAACAACAAAAAAAGGGCAAAACACAAAAGCCTTAACATGTCTGTTTGTGGAAACAACATCCAAACCAAACACTGAATTGTCTTTCACATTTTTTTTTACACTGCATTCTCCAGTTGAATGTGTGAAGTTTGACACAAATATTAGGGAAAACCCATGATGTGAATACTAAGCAGTACTTGCAAAGTTGTTCTTCAGCACTGCACTCAAGTAATTCATGCTTTTAAATCAGAGCAGAAAAAAAAACCCAACCAACCAACTTGCAACCGAAGAAAAACCCATGCATGTCTAGGAACCAACAAGTTTCAAATGCATTACTGAATTCTACACATCAGACTACTCCTAAACTGACTGATCATACTGGTTGGAAAATAACTTCAAATTATAAATACACTGGTACTGTTTGCAAACTGGTAATAGATGATTTGACAAGAAGCTGACTTTTAATTTCCTGAGTTTATGAATCACTACTACAAGTAAGTTTTTGGTCTGTGATCACAGAAAGATCTTAAGCAAGAAGACTCAATATAGCTTTTGGATAAACCCCGGAGAACAGATCAACACAATTGCAATCAGATTATTTCTGATCTTGTGCCACTAGATGGTGTCCAGTTATATGAGCTGTAACCACACCTGCATTAATCAAAATACAGCCTTCTGAACTGCTGAATGCTCACTCTTACAGCTTTTGCTGACATTTTGGGAAAGCTATTTTCCAGGGGGATTTGGCTTTTTAAGTCATACTTTTGATCTCTGTATAGTCCTTTAAGTGGGGAATGATAAAGTCTTTGATGTGGATTCTTGCATAAACAGAAGCAATGAACTACAGAGCACCTAACTGCAACCAAAGAAATGTGAGCCAGAGTTGAAATAATGCAAAATATCCTCTCTAAAAGTAGGAGGGAGGGTGGAGGGAACAGAAAAGAGAAATGAAAAGGGGAGTCCAGAGAGCAAACACTAACACCACTGTCCAACTGAGCAAGAAAAAGAGATTATAAACAACAGTCTGAAAACAAACTAAATCCTTCCTGTGTGCTGTGGAGCTTGGTATGTGGTCTTTCACCTCTCATTTGAGAGCTACTGTAGAACCATACTGTTATGAGGCAAACTGCAAGAGAAAGAAAGGCTATGACAGCAGTAAAGAAATAGGGGATCCAGACACGAATGTGTACTGGAAGAGCGTTTTCTCCTTCGCCTTTATTCTGCTTTTACCCGTATAACTAAATGCAAGGACAAACGGAAAACTTAGTCACTGCAATGTTTCACGCTGCTCCCAGCTCATCTAATAAATAAGGCACCAGGGGGCCTCAGTAATTCACTAGCAAGAAACCCAGGGCACATTAACTCTTTACTTGCTGAGTTAGTACACTTAAATTTTCATTTAGCAAGACTGAAAACAGCTTCTGCAAGGCAAGAGAGGAAGGAGCAATAGAAAAGGAGCATTAAAGCGCATTTATCCAGAGATTTGCAGTGAAATGACTAGAAAATGTGGCTTGAACTCACTTTTACTGTTTGCATAGCAAGTCTCTGAAAGCATGGTTTCATTGTGGAAAAGCAGCAAACCCCTTTACTTACCAGTATCACAGTGGGGGATGGGGTGATTTAAAACTAAATATAAGAATTCATTTGAGACCTTTTGATCAGCTCTAGTGATTGGTAATGAGAGATGTTGAGAGCTACCTATGCTGTTCATGGAGACAGCCAACCCAGTGACGGAACTCACGAATTCAGGGCTGTTTAGCTGCAATTTAAGAGAATTCTCTTTTTCAGCTTCTCCTCAGAATGACACCTGCACATACAATTGGACTCTTACTCTGTAAGAGTGTTAGAAACCAGTGTGTCCATCACAGGCACACATCACTGATGTCAGTCAGGTTACATGTAGTCTTTGTAACTGCTAGCTTAATCTAAACCATTCAAGTCCCATTTTCTATGGAATTACCTTCATTTTACTTTTTTGTTTCCCCACCCCTTTCCCCCACAAACCCCACTACAATTACAGACATCTGAGTTGCCGTAAGGGGACTGCACAGCAAAATAATAAGGCTCTGGGTTCCAGACAATTACAAGCAGCCTAAAAAAAAGTCTCTGACACTCAATCTATTTTCCCTGTGAAGCAGCTGCAGCTGGATGCATCTTGGAGCTCCAGGCAGCACACAGATCCAACATACAAAGAACAAAAGATCATTCTCTTGCACAGCTTTGGGAAGCCTCTCACGGAAATAGAGAAGTGCCTACCAAAACTATTTGTGAAGCCTCTTCCTTTGGAATTAGTGATTTACCTAGCCTCCTGAAATGCTGAATTGGAAATTACTGTAACTTAAGTGATACTGGGCAATTTTGTGTTAAGATAATGATACCAGATCCATATGCAATGCTATGGTTAACTTTAAAATGATAAACTGTGCAGTTAGGTGGCTAAACATTGGTAGTTAGATGGTTTAAAACACTGTGTTATGCAACTTATTGATATACCTTGGCATCAAGTATTAAATTCTGTGACTTGCCTGAAAGTATATTGTACTCAGCTGTATTTGCTGCTGAATACTTTGGTATCCTGTGATTGGACTAACTGTCTTTTAAATATCTCATGAGCTCATGAAAGCACTGACAACTCAGAGTGGCGCAAATGCAGAACCTGAAATACAGACAGATACAGAAAATAAGAGATCTCATAGCTTTCTGTGACACACAACTAGTTTCACATTCTCCAAACCCATTATTGTATTTCAGACTGTTATATTAGAACCATTATTTTGTTTGTATTATGCCTTGTTAGTAACTGAAGTAACAAAATCTTTAATTTAAACGTGTTCCAGAAGGCTCCCTTTCCTATGACAGCATCTATCATGACTTCAGTATAATATAAATGAGTTAAATGAGGGTCCTTCTTGCCCTACTGATCTTCTGAGATAATACTTAGCCTCATCCCATCCTCCTACACCTCCTCCTACCCATTTGCAGCACATGTATCTTTGCAGATAAGTCTGAGGGCTGCACTCCTGAACTTCATGGTTTAAGACTACAGTCTGATAGGTAGCAGAGCTGCTGACATGATTCCTATGTTAATAATCTTCCTTTTAACCACCTAAAATTTGGAAATTTTAACATCCCACTAGTGAGTTTGAAGCTGTTAACACCACTTCCTGGCAAATACTTGCAAGCAAACAGTAATGTGTCACAGAAAACCCCTTGACACTGGAACACCACCAGTAGCCATCACTGTTCAGTGAATCACATGAAAGGAATGGGGAGCAGACCCAGAAGGGGTCATACCCATCATCACAGGCGCAGCACGGAGACCTTCACACCCCGTTCTGCACACTCAGTCACTGTAAGATCAAAATTTTAGCTGGTGCATATCCTGCTCTATAACTTGAACCTGCCCAGTCCCTAGGCCCCGGCAGAACTTTAAATGAGACATTTCTTTGCCTCATGCCACCCTTCCCTGTGAAGCTCCCTCCAAGCACTCCTGCCCTTCTGTACCCAAAAGCCTTTTGGCTGCATTTTGACAGAAGCCTCCTGTGTTTACACTAGTCCTTCTAAAATTGCAGTTTGGTGGATTAACTTCTCTCGGACATGGAGTATGTATAGAGCACTCTCATTTTCCAGGACTTCTGCCAGTTCCAGGGCTTTCAGTGGAGGGGGGTAGTGGCTCAGGCCCTTGTCCTGGTTTCAGCTGGGGTAGATTTAACTGTTTTTCTTAGCAACTGGTACAGTGCTGTGTTTTGATTTTAGTATGAGAATAGTATTGATAGCACACTGATGTTTTAGTTATTGCCAAGTAGTGCTTCTGAAGTCAAAGACTTTTCAGTTTCCCATACTCTGCCAGTGAGCAGCTGCTCAAGGAGCTGGGAGGGAGCATAGTCAGGACAGCTGACCCGAAGTAGCCAAAGGTATATTCCATACCATTGAATGTCATGCTTCTTATGGAAATTGGGAGGAGCTGGCTGGGAGCTATCAATCACTGCTCAGGGACTGGCTGGGCATCAGTCAGCAACTGGTGTGCAATTCTATTGTGCATCACTTAATTTTCTTTGGTTTTATTCCTCCCTCTCTCCCCGTCTCTCCTTTTCATTATTATCATTAGTATTACTAATATATTTTACTTTGTTTTGTTTCAATTCTTAAACCATTCTTATCTCAACCCACAAGTTTTACCTTTTCCCAACTCTCCCCCCCCTCCACCGTGGGGGTGGCTGGCTGGTACTTAGTTGCTGGCAGGGGTTAAACCAAAGCACCCCTCCAGAATTGAAAAGAGAACCAACAAATGGCTAAATACCTATTCTGTGTGCTGGAATAAGGCTCCAACAAGACAGAAATACAAAGAGCCATGAAGACTAACCTGCTTTCAGAATGACCAGGGGAAAAGCCTGACACCAACTCTCCCCCCCTCAAAGGGAAGCTTAGTGTAAGAAACCAAAGTCTCTATAGACAGTTCTTCTTAAGAACTGCATTCACTATTGACACCCTAAGCATTAAAGTCAAAACCCTGGTCAGGTACCAAGACAATTACATCCATCTATTCGGGTGTCACAAGACGATGTCTAGAGTACACATGTGTCATGCCTAAGGGCAGGAAAGATACTCACAAACTGGAGAAGGTCCACTGAAGACCACTAGGATGGTTCGAGGGGTAGACTATGTGTCATATGAGGAAAGGATGAAACAACTGCTGTCTTTTGCTACCTAGAGAAAAGACCTAGTGCCAAATCCTCCACAAAGCGAAAGGACAAGAAGCAATGTCCACTAATTGCATCAAAGGGAATTCCCATTGGACTTGAGGACTTCCAACACCAAAGTGGTTTGGTACTGAGAGGGAGGTTGTAGCACCTCCATCTTCGGAGATTTCAAAAGTCGAGCAAAGTCCTGAGCAATCTGCTCTTATGTGAAAGTTGTCCTAGCTTTGAGCAGGCCATTGGGCTTGACACATTCCAGAGGTTCCTTCCAATCTAAATTTCTCTATGGATTTTCTAAGAAGGCAGAAAGTTAAAATAGATTTGGGAAAAAATAGCATCACATTGTTAGCTTTTTTACTTGCTTTTTGCAGTCGGGGTTATCTGGGGTCATGCATAAGAGCTGAGGCTCCAGGAGAAAAAGCTTTTGATAAAAATCTGTGAACACACTCATATTGTGTATTTGTACATGTTGTACATTTGTTGCTCATTAAAACAATGTCTTATGGAATTGTTGGTTTTTTTATATAAGATTCTTCATTCAAGTAAAAAAAATTCAAGTTTAAATTGAAAAAATAAAAAATAAAAAATTGCATAATCGCAGGGACATAAATGTGTCACAGAACTAGAGAACAAAAATGAAACTGTATTTTCTTGCCCCACTAGTAATAAAACACTGTATCAAAACAAAAGTGTAATTTGCAGAGGTTTTCAGACTCTAATGTCATTTCTCACAGGGAGCCAATCTAGCAGACAAGCTAAGAAACAATTAGACAAATACAAGTACTGCCAACTGGTAGTCAAAAAGTCTGGATTCCAGGGAACACCCAGAGAGGACTGAGCTTTTGCAGGGAGCACATAAATCTGTGGCAACACCTCTCCTGAGAGAATCAGTTTCCTTCTCTCTGTCTTAATCAATGGGTGATACAAAAAACATCTTTACTGGCAAAGTCCAGACACTCAAGTTCATAAAGTTAATCAGTAAGACCTACTAAAGGAGTGCAAGTCACAGACAGGTAGGGTAAAGCACACAAAGACCACAGCCATCTAACACTGCTGGAAGTTGCTCCTGCCACGACAGGACATGAACACATCTATCTGGAGAAGATACATCATGCCTATTTCTTTAGGGTCAGGACCAAATATGTTTTCTTTGATACAGAAGCCACATCGGACTTCATACTCTGCCTTACTAGTTGAGTGTAAAAGCACAGGCTCTAGCAGACATATCAGGATTTAGGCTGAAACAGATATAAAGCAAAATTCTATGTTGTGCAGGTGAAGGTCAGCAGAAAATGTCAGTATGGCATGTCAGCATGCGTACATTTGAGTTACAAAGCATATAAGCACAAAAGCCAGTTATCACCACATCAGGCTGCTGTGAAGAAATCAGTGTCAGGGTTGCAGTGTCACTTAGGAGCCAAGATCCTAGGTTACTCTGCCTGGAAGAGAATGAAATTAGCTGTGTGGTTTGCCTTTTCCCAAATGCGTATGTCTGAAAGGACAACAGGCTTCTAAGGTAAGTTATTAATTACAGTGCAATCACTTAAAAATACATGAGATACATCTGCTCAAAGGTTAATAACCAGTAAGATAGCCTGTAATACAATGCAAGGAGAAAAAAAAATCTCATGCTTACAAACATGTCAACAGGGACCTTTGGATTCAAGCTGCTGAATTAGGTTTTAGCAGCTTGTTAGCAGACTAGTTTTTTGTCCTTGTTTATTATTAAAGAGCCCTGTGACACGCTTTGAAAGCCGTTAATGTGCACAGCAAGTCATAGGTAGAGGATCTAGTCCTGGAAGGGGTGGTGCAAGTGGGGATTAGAAACCATTTGGGGAGTATCAACATGGAAGAGCAGCTGCACCATGAAATGCCATCAGTGGCTCACCAGAGTATTCTGGGGCAGTGTCAGAAATGAGGGAAACGATGCTTGACAGCATGCCCTCCCTCTGGTAGGAAGCTGGATGGACTGCATTTTTACTCTCTTCTGGCTTATCTACTTGGGTTTCTCATCTGCATAAAGTAGGGAAGAGAGGTAGAAAGAATTTGTGCTCTTGGGTTTTGTCCTTAAACAGAATTGGATCTGGGATCCCACAGTTTATCCCACAGTGCCTGAAGACATTGCTGTAGTCAGTGCAATACTGTGGTAGTACTGGGAAAAGAAGAGACTGGAAAGGTTTCCAAAACCCACTGTAGCTTAACAACTCTGCATCTTGGTCTCCTTCACTCCTTCCCTGTATCATACTGCTGAACTAACTGAGGGCCACAAAAGCACAGTATCACCATCATCATGCTAATTGCTTCCCCCACCTCCCAAACTTCACACACATCTGCAACCACTGTCATAAAATCTTGCCCTTCAGTTGCCTTCCAACACATTTCTCTTTTCTCCATAATACTACACAGCTCCTGGAAAGATTTCCACTGTCATCCCCAATGCTCCTGTGCAAGTTACTGGGTCAGATCCACAGCTGCCACTTGGCATACCCCACAAACATCTGTACACCACCCCATTCTTCTCAAGTTGAAGGCCCTGCACTAAGCAGATCCTCTATGTGCTTCCTGTGTGTTCCAGACACCCCACTGGGTAGGAAACACTTCCTGCCCAGAGCAAGAAACACCACCACAAACTGAATGGACTCTGGTGAATTCTTAAGACAAAGAAACTAAAGGCTCAAATATACCATCCTGATTACTTGCAGGAATGGCAGTCTGTCCCCATTCATCAACTCCAGAATCCTTCTGGAAAAAGGACATTAAGTTACTACAGTCACATCTGCTTTGCCACAAAGCAGCAGGGAAGCCCACACACTGCATTCAACTGGCAGCTGAGCCTTTTGTTAGTGAAGCAAACCCTAGAGTCAACAATATGCACATCCATAAGATACAGTATACTGACCTGTCACCTATAGTGTTGGCATGCTGTCCTAAACTTATCCTAAGATATAGGGCAGATTTCAAGTGGAGTAGAATTTAAACAAAGGAGGTGATTCAACCACATTATGACCAGGCTGCTGCCAAATCCCCAGCTAGGGACTCAGATAGGAACAAGACTTTCTGGAGGTAATATTTAGTTCTTGCAGACTGGCCAAGCAGGGGGCTTCTCACAACTGTATTCTGTATAGCCATGTGAGTTTCACATCCTGCCTTTTTTTTTAATTAATCCCCAACAAGATATCTAAGCAATACACTATGAAATACTACACAGAAAGGTTTGCATTTAACCATAGGTTCAACTGATGCATTGTGACACTACCATTGAAAGGCCATTATCCTCTAGTATTCATCTGTCGTTTTTGATTATATGCCTGCAAGTTAAAAATCTAATATGTTGTGACAAAACTGTGCAATTGAAGAACTGCAGAGTAAGCAGTTTCCCAGCTTGGAACAACACTGGACAGGATGCTGTGTTTCAGAAAGCCACACTGAATTTCCACCATGAGGAAAGAACTCTTTACAGGTTAAAAAGTGAGTAAAGTAGGGGTTTCCAAACACCCTTTGGATGGAAAGGTAGCTGAACCACCCCATTAAGTCACCAGGAAGCCAGTGCTACTTTAAGTAATTTCACTGTTTTGCAACTTATTACATTGTTGTTAAACATCACTAATGGTCTTACCGTCAAATATTTCCATGTGTGCTGGAAGATCTGAATGGAAACATTTAAGAAAACACTTATCTTACCTCTGGAATAAATTTAAGATGTATTTTGTCTTTTGTTTAACCACTGGAGCAACTGTTCTCCTTTCCTGGAAATCTACTATTTTTTGTAGCAAAACAAGTGAACTGGAGTCACACTGGATCTTTTCTTCAACCAGAGACTGATATGATCACCAGTCCCAGCCTATTATAATGCTAAAAAAAAAAATGTTAATAATGAAATAAAACACAACCCATTTTCCATTACCCTTTTAGACTAAAATGCAATGTAAAAATATAACTGAAATGTACTTGCTCCCAAACAAAAGGACAATAGTCAGACACTAATAAGCAAGTCAGGAAAATGAGAGGGTAGATGAATTAGACATGTCAGCATGAGAAAGCTCTGTATTATAAAAAGATGCCATTAACTCTTTAGGGGTGAAAGAAGGAACCAGAAAACTCACATTTGCAGCATTCAAAACACTTGTGAACATTTAACTGAAAAAATATGATAGGCATAGGACAGATACCCTGGAATAGCTAACACCAAATCTCAAAGTATAAGATTCTTGCCCCAGCTGTGATAAAAATAAGGAACTCAACACCACAGATCATTTTGGAGAACAAAGATTGAGCAAGATTCAATGAGAAAGCAAATTTATATGGGAATAAAGAACTCCAGAGTGTCAAGACCTGGAGCACGCTCTGACCACTAGCAGCTAGCCGACTGTACAAGGCCAGAAGGTTGATAGAAGGTATGAAAAAAACTTGGAGGAACTTCAGCAGAGGCTCACCCTCAAACAGTCTGTTGGGAGGCCTCAATAAGGGCAGCGCTCTTTTGCTTAAAGGCTGCTATAAAGCTGAAGCTCTCACCCTGGCTCTTGCCTGAGCTGTGCTATGGCCATGCACCCCATTTTGATCCAG